AAAACTCAACAGCAAGAAAGAAAACAAAATCTTCTATCTTCCTGTGAAGCCTTTTTTCTCGATATACAGGGTGTTACAAAAACAAATTTACACATTTTTTTTTACTAGGCATTGCCGGACGCTCATTCACTGCCCAAAGGTAGCTCTAGAGGTCACAACCAGATGCCAAAGTTTCAGCCTGATCTGATAACTTATTCAAAAGTTATAAGTGATTTCCTGAAAATTTCAATGGGAAAATGGCGGCCAACGGGGTTTTCGAATACGTGGGTCTCTATGGGCACCAGAAACCAAAAACGGGCAAAAATTGGCTCCATTTTCCCATTGAAATTTTCAGAAAATCACTTATAACTTTTGAATAAGGTATCAGATCAGGCTGAAACTTTGGCATCTGGTTGTGGCCTCTAGCGCTACCTTTGGGCGGAGAATGAGCGTTCGGCGATGTTTGGTTTATTTTTGTGGTAAAACAAACCGTGTAAATTTTTTTTTGTGACACCCTAAAGATGGTACATGCTCCCAGTGTCATTTCTTGTTTTAATAATTTAGACTTAGGTGGACATCGGCTCAGAGAGAAATTTCTTTTTTTTCAATGCAAAGCACAAATTTGTCCGCTCCTTGCACAGGGGTTGCGGTGATGTCAAAAGGCCGAGCTTTTATTGGCCAACCGAAAAAAATAGTGGGTAAACCTCAAGGAATCTAGCATTGAGGTGTACTCACTATCCTCTCAATCATAGCCAATCAGAGCTCGGCGTCATACTGATGTCACTGATGTCACAAGAAGCAGACGACCGGCTCCCCGCATTATCTTTTGATCAAGGTAAGGTCATGTTCTCAAACTTTCGCGTTCTATCCGAACAGCCAGCATCACATTCTCGCAGAGTTTGAGCTTCCTGAAATGCATAGTTTATTTACCCGGGCTGAAAAATATGCTCCTCGTTCCTCTAAAACTTCCCGTACTTACCGAGTTTTGTCGTTGACGGAGCCACTCGGCCATGCTTCGACGTTTCACCAATGCCAAAAACGACGCCAATAACTAAGCTTCTACGTGCAAAAATAATGGCAAGAGTGGCGAAACTGTTCATCAACATGGCAGAAAGCGGCTTACCGGAAGGGAAGAGGCATTTTCATGGGACTGCGCTATAGGAAGTGCTTACATGTAAGCAACTTATCGTGAGCAACGACTTCGAATTTGGGGAAAGGGTCTAGCAAACGCTCACTGTCAGCACACACTTGACTGCAAAGCACATAGCTTTGGCACCCAATGAATACCCCACCTAAGCTGGTTAATTCGCACAATCAAGATCCAGTCCAAACCAGTCCAAACTCTCGTGAAAATCCATCTTTGCTGAATCATTGCCCTACGAGTTGAACGTCTGGAGGCTGTTGTCCAGCTGACACAAGTTGGATCACTCGTGTAATAATCAACAGCATGAGCCAGAGTAGCTCTCGACAGGAGAGATAATTGAATGGTACTCGATTCTTGTGAACATCGACTGTTCTTGGAAGTCAAGACGAGCAGGCGCTTGAGCAGTCCGAGAACCACCATATCTAAATCTACTCGTACAGTGAATGAACAATGATGTTTGTGCAAACCAATAGGGATCAAAGGCAGAAAAGGGACACAGTGTGACGTTCTTAACACAAAAAAGGAAGGGCCATTTTTGTTTTCTTTTGTTTCTCTTTTAGGATTGAAAAGGCTGTCATCAAAACTACCAATGTGGTGGGAAGTGCTTCTTTGTGGCACCAATCTAAATGGTAAAATTTAGTGCCCGCCGATACCTTTTCAAAGGTGTGAAAAAAGACATTATGTTTGCACAAACAGTATCACACAGTGTATGTCAGCATGGCTACTGCGCATGGCTTTTCAAAAAGGAAAAGTGAAGTTGTGGCGACCCTACTGAGCCAATTCAGGTGACAGTAGTACATGGAAAAAGATGGTTCTATTCGTTAGCATAAAAAACGAAAACACCAAAACTGTCCTGCCATAACCCGCAATAACTCGCATTTACTTGCGGCATGGGGTACTAGCTAGGTCTAAAGCGGGACGCCGAGCCTCACAACCTCGCACGGGCCGCCTAGCGAGGCAAAGAACACTAAAGTCGCAGAGCGTCATTTCTATGGTGCTGTCTGTCAAGGGTCTCGCTTTAGCACTCCATTTCACAAATGTCAACGGTGCAGACAAAGCAGAAGCAGATGAAGTTAGCTCAGCAGAATGCTTTGTTTGTATGAAAACTCCTGCAGAAAAGGCACTTTCCAAAGCCGCCTGCTCGTGCCCTTGTCGGCTTTGCAGGTGTTTGTGAGATGAAGTACAGCTGGTGAAAAGGTGGGAAGCACTAAAAATGTTTTCATGGTTCTAGTTGTAGGAAGGACGTTTCTGTTTTTATCAGACAGATTTTGAATCATGACGTCTAGCTACGATTCAAGCTAGCCCTTGTCCAAAGAGCAGTACACGAAAAGTACACTACTAATTGTACACTTTTGTAAGAAGCCTATGTACTTCAGAAAGTACATAGGCTTAAAGTGCATTGCAAATTTACTAATAGCATATTGAGAATGTACCTCGAGTGCACAGACTGCAGAGCATGTTAATCAAATTGTACAGTTATTTTTAGTCATATCTGTACCAGACAGGTCTACAAACGCAAGATGGTGTGGAGATTCAGCGAAATGTTGCAGGCTTTCGAGGGTTGATGAGTGTGAGATCCCTGTGGGGTATTTACGTGTATAATTTATGCAGGTGGGGCAATACCCTCGAAATTGATTGATTTCACGGCCACCATACTTAGCTTCATACGACGTTTTCTGTAAACCTTAGCAGCTAGATTGGGTCAGTGCACGGTAATTTATTTAATCTACAGCACTCCACTGAAATAAAATAGATGTTAAAGGTAGGCCAAAAGAAAACTTCAGCAAAATGACATTTACTTTATGTCGGGGTTCTCCCCAAGGCATGCAACAGTGAATTTGCTGCCACCAGTCTAGCTGGCCACCCCTCCTCGTTTGATAACTCACCTACCTATGTATTTTTGCCACAGCCAGACCAGACTAACCTGATTTAGTAAATGCACACAAAGTGGCAGGTTGCCATGCTCGGTGGACTTCCATAGTACTGCACGTATATACAAATCACCGTGAATGGAATCGCTAATGAAGGAGCGACCAGGCTGTCCCCAGACACAACTTCTCTTGGTTGTAATGAAATTCCTAAACATTTCTGGGAAGAGCCCCGATTTTAGGCGTATTTTTGCAGGTAGCATGCCAGAGAAACGGCTAAGCTGGCACAAGCTTGACAAGCATGCTGCACGGGGTGTGACTTGGGCCTAATGCAGTTTTTCTCAAAACATTGTCTAGCACCAGAGTACTTTTCTTGGGCGTTTCTATGTCTTTCCTCTGGATCACCACATAATTGCCAAAGTGCTGGACTTGAGCCAAGGATGACGCGTACCAACCGAAGAGCCGCTGCAGCAGTGAAACCTAAAACTGGCACTCGCGTGGCAATTAAGGCCCAAAGATGCCAGATGACGACCAAACTGCCAGTAGCGATGCTTAACTTCGGCACTCGCTTGAAGAACTAGGGCCAAGATACCCACAGTCCCAAAAAAAGAAGGCCCAACAAAAGGTCAAGTTTGGCTCTTCCTCGGCCTTTCTGGGTTTTCAAGGCCCTAGACGAATTCCGAGACAAAAACCGAATTTTGGCCCGAAGAACCACGCTGCCCGGATTCCCGTTTCATAAAAGTGCACAATCGGCATCGGTACACCCATGGCACTCTTTACCTAGGAAGATCTCTAGCCGGTAGACGCGCACGTGAGGGCAACGCGCCTTAGGGCACCGTAGAAGCTTGCGTTGCAAGCTTCTAGACTGCCAACGAGAAGAAACTTGCGTTGCAAGCTTTCGCTCGCTGGCTTCTAGGCTGCACAGACTTCACCCACATATGCATAAACGCAACGAGTTTCAACAGAGGCGTGTTGCTGGAGATCCTGCAAGACGGCACCCTCGAGAAAGGTACGGGCGAGAACTTAAAGGGATGCTGAACCAAAATTAAGATTTCACAAAATAAGCTTGCAGAAGTGTTCAACAGGGCACCACAAACCACGAAACATCACTCATATAGCCATATCTCGAGCGGATGGCCGAATTTCCGAAAAATAAAGGAGGGAATGAGGGAGAATGTTGACGTCATCTTATCGCAGAAGAGTTGAGGAGACGAAATGGCCTCGCTCCCTTTCCTCTCTGCGCCCTCGCGGAGTCAAAACGAAAAGAGGAGGAAATGAGAATCGGGAGGTCACGCGTCTTTTCGGCCTTATGCGAGCGTGCTCTACTTTTACAAAAATAGGACGATCCGTTGGAGATGCCACTTTATGAGCGACGTTCTGGGATTTGTAGAGTCCCGCTTATTGGTTCTGCGCTGTTTTCTGAAACTCGATTTTCCATTCAGCATTCCTTTAATGCGAAATGAGAAGCGTTTACCGCGGCAGTTGCCGACAAAACGAGAATGGCGGTGAGTCTCTTTCCGACGCTCGGCGACCGGCACGCGCTCGTAGCCTTCCACCATGCTCTGGCTGCACGTGCACAATCGAGGCTCAAGAGACGCCAAAGCATCATTGAAGGTAGGAAACACGCCGGAGGTGGGGCAAATGAAGCACCTCTCTACTCGTCCCGTCAATGACTGTAATATGCGCCCCCAGTGAGTAGAGGGATCGCTGGCAGAGTGCAAAGGCGCACCGCAGCTAAGAGCATGGAGCGAAAAGTTGCACCGCAGAACCCAAGAATCCCGGGCTCAATCCCCACCCCCGCCCGTCTCATTCCGGACGAGCGTCGTACCGGAGTGCAGTCGTGTACCGCTACTGCGTGGCGCGTGTTAAAGACCCCGGGTTGGTAGTGGTACCGTGCCAGCTGAACTTCCCATCTACGGCGAAGACACCGTGGCACCCGTCGAGGCCGATCGACTTCCCGCTGTCCAAACGCACGTGCGACCCGATTTCGCCACCTGCGAAGCACTCACAGTCGGCGCGCATGCCCATGGTGAGGCACTTGTGGAGGCGGCAGTACTGGCAGCGGTTGCGGTGGTGCTTGGTCACCTGGCAGTCCCGGCCTCCCCTGCAGCTGTAGGCCAGCTGCTTGCGGATGCTGCGCTTGAAGAAGCCCTTGCAGCCCTCGCAGCTCACTGCCCCGTAGTGCCGCCCCGATGCGCGGTCCCCACACACCACGCACTGTTCGAGGGGCACCGGAGCCGTGGCGGCGGTGGCACCTCGGCGAGGCTCCTGGAGCTCTTGGAGGCACAGCGCCGCCCACTCCGGTGCGCACGGGCCGCCGCCGCCCCCGCCGCCGCTCTCCTGGGTGTCCCCGGACTCGGGACTGCCGGGGCTGCTTCCATTCTCTGCACGGACGCAACGTAGGAAAGCTCGGTCAACGGGACTATGTGGAGACGCCCAATGTGCACCGTGTCTCATTGACTCCGTCATTATTAGTGCACTCTTTCAACGTGCAGTCTCAGACTCGGTCGATGAGACTTAGCATAGGTATGGCGCCTGGAGAGTGTCTCTGACTGGTCTGTGCACCGCGTCCTCAAAAGTGGTCCCTCTATTTCCGCCCCATGACGTCAAGGAAGTTTCGTGCCCAACGCAATCCTGACCGTGGCACAGCAGCAGACGTGCACGCAGCGGATGCCCGTTCTGCTGCAGGTCACTCTTTGGCCAGACAGTAACCACAGCAGACGCGCGATGGGATGCCATCGTTGCGGCATCCCATGACCAATGCCCTCTGACTAGTCGCCATCATTGTGACATCAGATAGCGTGACACTCTGCTCTTGTGATCTCATTTGTTCGCACTTTGGGACTACTTTTGATGCATCGGTGATAGAGGACAGTAAACACACTATTCAGACGCATTCCAGACACCTCGAACGTAAGCAGTCTCACCGACCTGGTCAATGAGACTTAGCACAGTGCTCTAACATACTACATAAAGTGTTAGTGAATCGGTCAATCAGACTTTAAATTTAGCGCAGCCACCTACTGTATTTGGACCTATACTTGTTGTCATCAAGAAAAAAGTAAGTTTTGCGTATTGTTCACACGCCACACGAAGTAGTTCTTACAAAATTTGGTTGTCGGAGGAAGAAGCGATGCTTTTGATGTTTGAAGCTCGTATGTCTTGATAAGATACATACATCTAAAATGCACCTACATATATCTTAATTCTCCACATAAAGAGAGAAATTAGTGGTGCTCCGTGAGAGTCGGACTTTTTGTACTATGGTTCTTGGGGTGAAAACAAGTATAGCACTCTGCCATTACAAGTGTGCCAGACCCAAACCTGCCTTATCCAATGGTCTCTACAATTCATTAGTGTATCTTTCAAACAAATCCATTCAACAATAACAGACCACGGTGCTTGCAGACACTCTTTCCAGGCTGGTTCACACATTTGCTTGCGAGCACTACTGACTGCATCGCGACTGCTCTTAACTACTCGCAACGAGAAAACACGCCGGCACAGTGGCGCCATCTATCGGGTGGCTTTGGAACCCTTCCGATCTGCGTATAATTAGACCGAAGGTTTTGCATACCGTAGGATACCTCGCATCCGACCATTCCACATTAAGCGCCCATTCCCAAATTTGTAAGATCTGGGAAAATACGCACAGTACATTTATATGCAAAATTGATGACCGGACAAGCGCCCATCCCCCATTTTTTTGCCATTATCTCCGTAGTTTGAGTGGGCGCTTGCCCGGTATTTTATGGTACGTGCGACATCAAATCGAGGCCTGTCTATGACATATGGTCGCTTACATCGTTGTCCGAATTCTTTCGAGCCTATGGTGAAAAATTGACGCGTAAAACAGACACAAATCGGAAGTGCCTCAGGGTTACGCGATAAATGGCACCAAGCATTTGCTGCAGTCGGACTTTATATAAAATGGAGTACAAAGAACATTCGTAAGTTTGTTTTCCTGCAGAACGGAAAGAGAGCCAACGACGGCAGACAACCAAAGAATCTCGGTGAGTAACTAAGCTCATAGTACGAATTAGACCAAAAAATGCAATCTGTGGTCGCAGGTGCTTGCTACACAGTCAATCGCACTTAAAGGGGCGGTGTAACAATATTCAGTTGGAATGTTTTTCACTTTACACAAGCCTACTGGCACCAGTGGGACCCAAGCATACTCGCACACAATGCCGGTGGCCAAGGAACATCTTTGTTGCGGCGTAATTTTAAGAATAAAAGCGAGCTTTTTTCCTTCAATCTCTCCTTCGCAAATCTTGACGACGTAATATGGAGGGCGCACTGTCCCCCGGTGACGATGGTTGAATGCGGCTCGTGGATTGGATTCTAGCACTGCGCGAGCACTTGATTTGGGCTCGCGATAATCGATAGCTCGACGAGCATTCGGGTAGTGGCCCGTGCCCAATCGCTTCGATGACAACTCTACTCACAATGTCTGTAACTCAGCGCATTTCCTGTGCTTTGCCAACCCCGGCGCGTGGCTACGATCAACATTGGCGGCATATAATCGGATCCAGATCACGTGGCCGCTTGCTCTGGCTGAGAGTTGACGGGAAAACGGTGATCGTTTTTCTTTCATTTTCTTTCCGACTACCATTGCATGAGGAGAAACACTAACGTTATAAACGTCAGGGGTTCATTCTAAGTGGCATTCACTCAAAATACAAATATCGTAGCATCGTCCCTTGAAACATACATGTGTGAACCAGCCTTGAGTAGAGATGCCCTGCAATTTCTCACTAAATACGCGAGAGATGCTAACGTACGTGTCAACTGCATCGCACACTGAATTGACAGTTTTGGCAGGCGAATGGGAACGGCATTTGGTAGCCGTAACGTCTTTGAGTTCACGTCTTGTGTAACTGCCAATTACTCTCACCAAAAATGTATGCTATGTTACAACCTCCTTTTTCGGAACATTTGATCGAGAAAATTCCCGCCAAAGACATTTTTTGCAAAACACACAACCTAGCCACAACTTTGTATTAATTTACAGCATCCAGTGTTGGGTAAAGTACATCTAAAAGGTACTTCAAGTAAAGTACAAAGTAAATGAGATGCGATGTACTTCAAGTAAAGTAGTAACTACACTGGGTGCAATGTACTTCAAGTAAAGTACTATAAATGCAATGTACTTTCAAAGTAAAGTACAAGTATTTTAACACAATCTTTCATGATGCCCTTTCATTTCCCTATACAGTGATTTTAACCGGTATGCATTGCTCATAGGTAATCAGGGGTGCATGACCGATTTTCAAAAACAGCGAAAAATATTTGATTAAGTGGCCACAGAGCAGTTATGTTCAGAAATGAAGTCAAAATCAGAAGTCCCTCCTCTGAATTTGGAACCGCTTGCACTGGATTGTTGCACCCAAGGGGGTCAAATGTACTTGGAGAGAGCATGACGTCAGCCCCGTAGCTTCCGCTAGGAATCCTCTCATAGAGGAGTGTCCTCTCCTTAAAGAACACACGCAAAGAAAAAAAACTTTTTTTTAAACAGGCTAGATGGAAAATAATTTTATAAAACGAATTTACAACTAAGAAAAAAAATTTAGAGCTATATTTACTACGCAAAACGAATTTGTAGTTGGCGCCCGCGGGAGCCGCCGCTGGTCACGTGGTAGGCCTGTGTGCCGCCGCGCTGCGTAGCCGCCGCCACAAAGTCACGCCGCCGCCGCACGCTGAGCGTTCTGCGACACCGCTTCAACGTGTTTCTCCACGCCGTCATTGCCGCCGCCGCACAAGTTCGTCTGCTTCAGGGCACCGCCGCCGTCATCTCACCGGCGCACAGGTCTATCACGTCTGCTTGCGCTTTTTCAGGAGTTTCCTTTGGGCTCTAAAAGCTATTTATTAATCTTAGTTTTTTGTTACACTTCAAACAAAGATGAATAAGTTACTTTTAGACGCCATACGAAGCTTCCGAAAGAGCGCAAGCACGACGTGACAAATATGTACCAGTCACGTGATAAATAGGGGCCACTTTTCGGCGGCGTCCGTAGGCGCCAACTACAAATTCGTATAGCGCCGTAAATATAGCTCTAAATTTTTTTCTTCATTGTAAAATCGTTTTACGATATCCTTTTTCCAACTAAGCTGTTTAAAAAGAATGTTTTTTTCCTTTGCATGTGTCCTTTAAGGGAAAAAACAGTGAGTGTGCAAGCGAGCTGGTGATAATTAATCATAATATGACACTTGAGATTGGGGTGCGAAAAAATTAAGGAACTTTCATGTCGAAGGAAAAGACAAAAGAGAATGTCTCAAAACATTGGGATATTCTCCTCTGTTGTCTTTTTCTTCGACTTGAAAGCTTAATTTTTCCCCACCACAATCTCAGGTGCTATATTATGATTAATTTTTCTCTCCTAATATTTTAGACCTCCTCGCTTACCGACTGAGAAGTAGCCAAAGTTCAAAAAGCTATGTGAAAGCCGCCCCCAGAAAAAACGGAGCAATGCGTCGTCTGCTCACGTTTCTAATGAGAGTAGAATACCACTCCCAGTATTTCTTCAAAGCTGACGAAGCATAATTTCGTGATACAAACTTACCAAAACCAAATTTGGGAAATGCACTTTGAAGTCGGGAATTGAACTTTCCTCGGTAAGCACCGGACAAAATACTTTAAGTGAAGTACAAGTACATACTCGGAGAATGTACCTCAAGTAAAGAACAAGTTTCCTAAACCTACTTGAAGTAGTACTTTAAGTACAATGTACTTTTAAGTACTTCTCAACACTGACAGCATCATATCCTGCAAAACCCGTGTATGAGACCACTTCTGAATAAACCATTCGCCAAATTACCCCAGCATCAAATAAAATGCTAAGAACTTAGGTACATCTGCTGTGTGCGCTCACCTTCCTTATACAAAACATTCCAAGTAAATAACCAAAATAAAGCATTTGCGGAATGCGCGTGCTAAGTGCCATTTGTTTTAAATTTTTGCTTTCGAACAATTAAAGTTTCAAACGCCAGCATATGCAGCGCGTGTCCCACACTCCCAGCATTCTCTTTGGTGTTTGGGTAATTCGGCAAAAAGGCTATTGGGGGTTTGACCCCTCAGGGCCATTTTGTAAAAGTTATGCACCCCAAACAACCTTTAACTATGATCTGACTAATGGCAACACATGCTCCAAGCAGGCCACAAAAAAGAAGAGATTTCGATAAATGCTATATGGCTATGCTCTTCTTCTGTATGCACGACTGAACATTGTAGATTCATTTTCACAAAATCCATCAGGATTTGAGGAGCAACTAACTAATGCTGAACTTCGACAGCCTTAACAAATACAAATGAGCAAAAAGAGCTCGCAAGAAAAGATTGTGAAGGAGAAACTAAATAAACCCGACAGTTCTGTTGTTTCCTGCATCCACACTCTAGCCAGCCCCTGCCCACTTGCAGTTGCAGTTGACCACATTTGGTCAACTGCAACTCAATTGCCTCAAGCTCGAACCGCGACACGTTTGTTCACTCCCAAGCTTTGCTTCTTGCCTCGCTTCATCAAACCCCAGACCTACACAGGGCTGCCTACATTCCCTTCGTAGACCACTGAAGACATCGCTAGTCGCTACAGCATTTATTTCATGTTTCAGGGTTGTCTACGGTCCATTTGTAGACCCCTGAAGCGGTCTATGATCACTACAGCACTCGTTTCCTATAGCGGGGTCGTCTACATTCTCTTTGTAGACTGCAACCACCCACGTACCTGAGCCTCCGGCGAGGGAGGTGGGGCTCTGGCGCTCCTCCTTGATGTCCTCCTGGGCCGAGGCCATCAGCCTCGTTCGCACACCCTCCTCAGGACCACATGGTTGGGGACCTGCGGGAGAGGCCGTCTGGGGTAAATTGCTTTCAAAACATAGTTTGCTGCTGTTACTTTAAAACAGTTAATTGCATGAAGCGCAAGTAAACCACGTATATTTATGTTGCGACCAAGCAGCGGTGGCTTCTCAATATTGTTATTCGAAAGTATCTTTCGCTCGATGGCAAACACACCCTCTAAACAAGCAGCGCACTGGTGCTGATGGAATGGCTGTATGTTGCACGAACATGTTTGACTGCCGGTTCGTGACTCGTGAGAAACTATGTATTCGTAAGCTGGCATAAAGCAAGCATGACATCAAAATGTCAAACACCATTTGGAAAGTGCAAGGAACGGCTAAATTGTACTCGTGCAATTACATTCTCACCCACAAGAAACTGAGAAGTGACGACAAAAGTAACATTATCACTTTCATCCCTACTTCAGGAAAAGCAATGAAACTAGAGTTACAAGTTACAGTAAAAAAAAGAAGTAACATGTTACAGTTAAAAAGTAAAAAAGTTACAGTACCAGTTACTTGTAACATGTTACAAGTAACTGGTACTGTAACTTTGTTACTTTGTTACCCAAGACCGAAGAAAGCCGAAAGTCATCTCAAGCGCATGTTAAGATTTTATAGGAAAAGTCAGTCACATCACTGATAAAAAAAAGCTTCCAGGTTTTTTTGTATAATGCTCATCATGTCTTGGCATTAATGCAGCCAAGTACGACCACTGGGTATGTGGTGATCGAGTACCACCAGTAGTTGAGACAAACTCCAATGGTAATTGACTCCAACATAGACATTGCTAAACATTCATTTCAATTAATTTTAATACGCTATATTGCAACATGTGTTTGCAGACTTTGAATTACCGCTTTCGAGGGGGTCATCGAAAGAAGTTTAATGAAAATCGAGGACAATTATTTTTTTTTTTAATTACCACACAAAAAGTAATTAGGATGTTTAAAACCCGACACGGTAGTGATACATGACCACACACCAGTACAATACTTGTCCAGAACGAGACGGGTGGGGGTGGGAATTAAATCCACGGTACCCGAGCTCAGCAGCGCGAGTTTTCTCTCCATATGCTCCAAGGCGCAGTGCAGTAATGCACCCCCGTCAATGGTTTTCCCCCCTCCCTTACACCTGAGTACCCTCTGTTGAATCTTCAACTATTAAAAATTGAACGAAAGAAAGTGAGGAAGAAGATGGGAACTATTAGACCCTTGAAAATAGCGAGCGCTCGCATATTTGGACATTCGAGTATCTGGTATCGGCGGCGGAGCGACAGCTCTCAGGGACACACAATGCAACGGACAAAGCTGGTCGTCGGCAGCGCTGCTGTTCTCACCAGGTGGAGAGAATAGCCTGTGAGCACCAGCTGTTCTCTACACCACCCTTGCCCTACAATGCTTCGCCAGCGTATAGCACGAAAAGCGTCCCACTGGGCGAGCACAGCTCATATATTTTTTGCCTTCGCTTATAGGCAACTAATCATCGTACCCTTCCAAGGGAATGAGCATACCCCCAAGTAGGCTGGCATTTTTTTGCGCCTCGATAGCAGCTTCAGTTGTTTGGTAGGAATATTGACGCCTCGGTACCGCATTGTATCGCTTCACTGACCTTCCGAGCAGCTCCTAAGTAGACTTGTAAAACAGCACTGCATCCCTCCTATGTTCTTTTAACTTTCTATCCTCAAGTACCGCCGGCACGATCGCCGTAGCGGCTGCGTCCAGAGCACTAGTGCAAACATTGAAAGTGGAGTGCTGCGAGAGAGTACAGATTAAACTTTTCCAGAGGTGAGCAATGCAGCGAATTTTTCCGAATTGATCGCCGCGCTCAGCACTTTACAAGAATTGGAGCAACAAGTCGCACGCGGAGATGTCGCTTGCATTTCACAAGGGGCGCAAAAATCTGTTTGGCGAGCTTGTTATTTGCCAGCTAGAAGGGGCTACATGTTATTGTGAAAGACGTGGATAAGAAGAAATTGTGCAGCACGTCACTTTTCGTTCCAATCTTCAGCTACTCCGTCTCCATTAAAGGGATACTGAAGCGAAAATTGAAATACACCTATTATGATCAGAAATAGGCTTAATATGATCAATGATATCCGTAAATCATAATCGCGCGTTTGTATTTTGAACGGATGGCTGTATTTTTCACCCTGAGGGGCCCGATTGGGCGCGCGCTCTAAAATCAGCCATCGGAGAGCGCGATGAGTCTTGGGATATTGGGCGCATTCATGACGTCACTTGTACCAGACGGGAAAGGCTACGGCGTGGATGTTGTGGTTACGAGTGTTGCCACTTGGTGGCGCGTCGACGATTTACGACCTGTGACAACGTGGCCGTTTGAGATGTGCAAGGGCTGCACACGCGCTGCACCACGGCAAGCCGGCAACCACGGCACCACTGACAAAACCAGCTCTGAGGCCGGATTCTCAAAGAGAACTTACGACGAAAAAAGTGTGTACGACAAATTTGAGAGAAAACCCGTATTCTCGAAACCAAATTGTCGTAACTTTTGCGCAGGTTACGACAGAATCCTACGACAGCTCCGCAGCTGTCTTATGCACTTTTTACGATCAAATCAGCATGGCCGACAGCGTCGCTCAGTCACTTGATAGCAACGACCAACGGACATTTATTTTTCTACATGCTCTTCTCGTGCGTCCCGACTTTAACCAGCAAGAAAAAAGGAAGGAGTACTTGAAACAGACCACGACGATCAAGAACGCAGGATCCACAAACACCCGAGAAGAGCTACAACGGCCACGATTCTACCGACCAAGCGAGCTCGGCAGAATATAGTAGGCCTAGCAGCAACACCGACTCGGTGCACCGTTGCTCTGGCGGTCCTTGGCCAAGACCGTCTGCCCATGACCGGCTGGCTTGCTGAATGGAATATGCCCGCGTGACCCTTGTGGACCCTTCCCGGATGAATAGTTTGATCCCCGAACTAAATTTCAGAGGTCAATCTTTTCCCCTTGTCATCTCGATCTCCTTGTTTTCCGAGACAGCGGTGACGAACGCTGTCGTCGAAAAGGGACTCTCATTGATGCTATCTCCTTGTTTTGTGTGATATAGAGCTCAAATAAACGCCATACAAATTACCTTTGCAACACGGTATGTACACTTTGTTATTAGTATGCCATTTTTATTCTGACACGACGCTACGTCACTGTCGAGCTACAGCAGTTCGTGGGAGCTATGCGATGTCGGTCCAACCTTTCTTTGCCGAGTGTCATGTCAGTATCGAGTTGCAATCGTAAAAGTTCGGTCCAGAAGCGCTTACCGAAACATGGTCTAACAGAGCGAATCCAGCACTTCGATCAAACGCGCGTGTCCGCTCCGACTGTGAACAGGTATTTGCGTGGCCCTTGCTGACACTCTCGCAGTTCAAACATATCTTTTTTAACGTCGACTCGCAGCTCGCGACTCGCAGCAACTAATACCGGCCATGCCACAAGCATGCTCGGGTCGTGTCGTGCAAAGAGCCGCAACGAGAACGAGCTCACTGTGGCCAACTATGCTTTGGCTTTCTCCGCCAAGGCTTTGCAAACGCGTTCAGGCCTAGGCTAATTCTGCCGGCACGCCGTATTGCCGCAGAACGGCGCTGCTCCTATGCCACAAGTGATGTCACGAGAACTTTCCCACCATCCACCAGATGTGAATTTAAAATTGTTTAATTAGGTTTAAAATTAGTTCTCCTGTGTTTTACAGCGTGATATTGATATTTCTGAGGTGGTGCCTGTCCCTAGCTCATATTTATGCAGAAAGATTGGCGCTAAAATTTTGTTTCCGTACCCCTTTAAAGGAACACTGAAATTAAAATTAAAATATACCTCTCCGAAATGAGTTAAACCTGATTAACAATATTTGCTCATGACAATTGCGCACTTGTATTTTGAACATATGGCAATATTTTGCATTCTAAACGGCCGATTCTGGCAAGCACATGAAGAGCAGCCGTCGGAGATCGGTATGCGTCTCTGGACATTTGGCGCCTCCGGCTGTTTGTGACGTCATTTGTTCCAACACGAAGTCAAATTTGGGGTTTTACGTGCCAAACCAACAGCGGGCATCTGGCACGCCCCAGCGGAGGACTGAGGATTAAATTGGACCACCTGGGGATCTTTTGACGTGCAACCGAAAGCTCGGTTACACGGCGCCTCCTCCGCAGTAAGCCTCCGTCAGATTGCGGGCACCTCGGCCGGGATTCGAACCCGCCACATGGGGATCCGTAGGCCAGCGCTCTCGCCTCGGAGCCACCGAGGCGGCTGTTCCAACACGAGCAAGTCTACAACGAGGCTAGCATGGTATGAGCCTTGCCACTTGGTAACGTCAACGCGTTACAACCTTGCAATTTGAAATGGCCGAGGACTGGTTGGGCAACATGATAGGAGGCGAATTGACTCTCCTCCCCCCTAAACTACACTGACCTCCTCCTCGTCCTCTTGGTCTCACTGCCCTCTGCCTGTCTTCTTTCCTATTCCCTTGATGCAGGAGTTGAATAGACGTGGGAGAGAAGGAAAATCCAGTGCGGTCAAGTTTGACGGGCCGCGCGTGCTCGGAGCTTGGCGCCATATTTCTGACAAGTAACACTGCTTTTACGGGACAACTGATGTAATGACATCCCTAACTAGCTTTGTGACATCCACCAGCTGAAATGTATTAATCATTTTGTTTGTTTTAAATCAAGTTTTAATTTCTTTACAAACAAAAAATATTGTTATTTCTTTGGTGTTGCAACAAAACAGTCAACATTTGGACAATAAAATAGGTGCTACAGAATTTCATTCCAGTACACCGTCAAACCCTCAAGTGCCTTGGACAAGCTGAGCTCCTTGGCTTTCTGGTTAAAAATGCCATGGATGAGCTTAGTTCGTCCGAGTGGTTTGCAGCGCTGATAATAGATGGCAGCACTCGTTTTAGTGTGAGTCTTCTTTCCTTTTGCCGCCATTGGTAAGATAAATGAGAAGATACACTGGCAACAGTCATTTAAAAACGCCGTCGCTAGCCAACAGAGCACGCGGAACTTCATCACGAAAAAGAAAAGAGATTGTTGAAGAAAGCTCGAGTCACTCGGAAGAACTTGAGCTTTGTTTGTCAAGCAAGGCAATGCTGAAAGCAACTCAAGTGAATCCGATGACGACGACGACAACGATTCGGATGGTGGTGGAGATTCCACACAATCTGCAACCTGTACTGTACTTGGTGTTTTAGTGCAAAAGCATCAACAAGACCCCCCTAATTAACTGTAACAAGGTTCATGAGCACACAGAACTACACTGATTTTTGCGTAATAAACTTTTGAAAGACTAACTGTGATACTAGGGACTAAAACACATCAACGAAACAATATGACAATTTAGGTCACTTAAAAAAAGAAAAAGAAAGTGGCATTTAAAATTATCATCAGCGAGGTTTGGTTTCTGTGCTTCCTCCTGGCCATGCACGAGGGCTGGAATATTGCTCACCCTCTATATCCTCCAATTGGAGCCTGGCACCATGACACCACCGTACCCTCTGCACGAGCGGCAGACAAGCTTGCTCGACATATATACTCCTTGGCTCGATGCTCAAGCTCTAGGCCAACAAACATAAAAGTGCAGAATGCTCAAAAGTGGCAAGAGCTTCCCAAAAGATATCTGCAAGATCACGGGCAAATCCCATGGGCAACCTGCAATGCTGTTTGGTTTGGCGCTATCAAGCGAATGAGCAAGAAACATTGGGTATGCCTGGGAGAGGCGGCTGCATTGTTCAAACATGAGCTATCTCTTTTGTGGCACCGCTCAGCCTAGTGTTTGAAGCGAGAAATGCTGGGTAGGCCAGGAAGCTGCGATCGCATAGCACGCCAGTCCGGCAAAAGCTACGACCCTGGCGGGCCAATTGGAACATGACCTTGTATCGCCGGAGCACGCTTTTACAGCGAAGTAGTATCAGACTTTTCGCTGCGTCATGCTCCAATATGTGCATGTTGCGCTCGTATATGTAGCGCACATCAAAGCCATCGGCACGCTATGTGGGGCCTATCGTTCACCATTTGCCAAGTTACAACGAGACAGGGTATAACCATGGGCTCTCACTCTGCTGGCACTGCCTGGCTGTTGCTGGCTGGCTATAGAGGATAACGTAATGTGCTGTTAAAAAAAAAAACGCTACCAGTCCAACCTCAATAGAATTCACGCTTTTTTTAAAGCACCGACAGCCACTGTTGTTGAACACGCAAAACACGGGTGGTGCACAATAGCACCCGATGTCAAAAGCCCCGTGTCAAAAGCCCCGTGGCAAATGCCCCGTGGCAAACGCACCAGTTTCAGATGCCCGTGATGCAAATCCCCCGTGTCAGGTGGCCGGGTCCTCGGCGCAAGGGTGGAGCATTCTGTTTTAACTAAGAGACAGTAAGTGTACACGCGAGATTGTGTAAGGGGATCATGCTGTACTGGGGCTCAAGTAAGGAATAATTGGATAAAGCTTCCCGTTCTTCAGGCGTACACTATACACATTCACATCTTGTGACATTACAAGTGAGAACAAACAGAAAATATGTGTCACTGGCAAAACATTTACAGTTTTTATGAATAAGCATTGAATCAAAACTTTCGTCGGCTCTAGCACGCACATAATCACGGTTTTGACAGTTCTGTCAAAACTGTTAACCTGCAGCTCAAGGCGACATACTTTTTACATGTACAGCACCAAACACCACTTCCATTACGTAATTCTAAAAATATCTATATACATCTAAGTACATAAGTAGACGTCTGAGTATACCTCCATACAGCGGCGTAGACTTTCCATTTTCGGGGGGGAGGGGGGGGGGGGGGTTGCGCGTTATTCTTTTGCTAGAACTGGAGATTGAAGCTAACGAAAGCACGCTGGGATCCCGTTTCCCATGTATTTTGTCAATAAAAGCAACGTGGGCGTTATTTTGTTTACATGCCGCTACTAGAAGCTCGTTACATGGCACGTAAACAGCGTCTCGGTAAGGATCATGGCCCGGGCCCAGGGGGGGCATGAGCCCCGTTGCCCCCCATAGTCTACGCCTATGCCCCCATAACAGCAGGGTGCATCGTTGGTTATGCATATTTATGCAATTGGCCACTTATAGTACATCATTTTAAGTTTCTCTGCGGTTCAAGTTAACCTTAGTTTGTTGTTTCTTTCACTTAAAAGAGCCTTTGTAGACCTTCAACGGATTAGGTTAAGACATAGAGCAATGCTGGTTGAAGCGCGAAGAGGGTGGGACAGGGGCAGTGAGGACGGGGCTTTTGGCACGGGCGGAATACTGAAAGGGGTACTTGAATGCGCGATCTTCGAAACGTGGGGATAATGACGCGGAGCATTTGCAACGGAGATTCTGCACGCGGGGCAATCGTGCTACACCCGCAAAACACGTGCCTCCAGCGAGAACTGCACAGCAATTTGCTTCGAAGGGCCGCTCATTTCAGTGCTTTGCCGCAATTTGCTTCCAGGGTCTGCACGAGGCACTGGCCCTATGCTTTGGCACAAGGGGGATCGGTGGCCGAGTGAGCTAACGCACACCAGACCGGAGCACATAAAGCGAAAGCTCGCGCTGCAGAACCCAGGATCCTGAATTCAATGCCCACCCCTGCCCGTTTCGATCTGAATGTGCATCATACCGGCGTGCGGTTGTGTATCACTACTGCATGATGCACGTTAAGGACTCCAGGGGCCCTTCCCAGGGTAACTAGGGAGAAGGAAGTGACATCAACAATGCAGCAAATGCAGATTGGATGTTGATTGGTGAGAGTCGCTGATGACGAATATCCGCAGAAGAAAACAAAGAAAAAGTGAGCTTTGTTTTCTTCTGCGGAAATTCGTCATCATTGACCCTCACCAATTAACATCCAATCCGTGTTTGCTGCATTGTTGACGTCACTTCCTTCTCCCTAGTCGTCGCGGGGGTCCAAAAAGCACAACACAGGGCCCCAGGTTAGTGGTTGTACTGCACTGGCTAAATTGCTCATCTACAGCTGGGAGACTCGTTGCCCGTTGAGGCAGACCAAGTTCTAGGCTGCATAAACATACACACAACCCCAATTTGCTTTGGCACATTTAATGCTAGTTGCGAGACAAACACATCGAGGGGCTTTGGTCCAACCGACCTCTTCACCTGCAAGCATGGCTGTTTTGACAACTATGTTGGTGCAGCTGTTACGTCGCTACCAACGCAAATGCAAGCGTCTGCCAGGCCGTCAACGAATGAAGCGGTGGCCCTCGACGTCAATGCCAATAAGCGACCAGCTGTGGCTCGAGGGGGTGTCCCCTGGCCACCCCTTCGGCGGCGTCCAGCGCGGAACCCGACGGGCGGGCAGTCAGTCGGTGCTCACGCAACTCGGTCAAGGCCGCAGGAAACTCTGCGCGCAACGTCGCTTCGCGCGTGGAGGCCCCGCCCGCTTTATCGCGGCTTTGCCGGCGGCGGGCGGCCGGCGGCCAGCGCGGACGCTTTCGTTCCTCCAAATAAAGAACGGGGCCGGCCGTGCCCCCCGAGGACCGCGTGCGGCGGCGGCGAGGTCGACCAGTCGCTTGGGTGGCGACGCGGATCCGCCCGCCCGTCCGCGACCTCAAGAAAGAACAAGAAAGATAAAGGGGCACGCACGGCGCCGCTGCTGCTGCTTCTGTCACGGGTCGAAGATCGCGTCGTCCGTGCGCTCGCGTGCATCTACAGTCGGCCACAAAAGCGTTGGATGCACGAAGTGTCGCGGACGCCAGCTAGCAATCGCGGCGGTCCAAGGCAGAGGAATGACTTTGGGCGGTCGACTTGAGAGCGCTTTCCCGAGGGGTTATTGTGCAGGACGTTTTGCTCTTTTGGCACGCGGAAACCAGTCCGGCGGGTTACGATCGCGAACCGCGGTTCGGAAACTCGTTGGATCAGTGCGGTGCGTGCGAGCCGCGCTGGAGCTAGCTACTTTTTTTGGGTGTTTAGAACGCGAGGAAAAAAGTGCTTCGAGAGAGAGAGAGAGAAAAAAAAAAACGAAATGGAAGTTCGCCCCTTGGTTCGCTATTTCGGGCATTTCGCGAAGGCGCCACGGCGTACTGGCGAGTGCAGCGCGGACTTCAACCCGTCTTTCCATAATAATATATATATATAAAAAAAAAAAGAAAAAAAAAAAGGTGGAACGCGAGCATTTTGTTTGTTTTTTCAGTCGGCAGGCGACGACGCTAACGACGCGACGGCGAACATTTTTTTTTTCCGAAAGGGTCAGGTGTCGTCAGGTTGGGCTGCAGCAGCCGGTGCAGCCGTTGCCGTGATATTTGGTCGTGTCTAGGACCCCGGAAGCGAGCGTTCTCGTGATCACGGCTGCTGTCAAAGGGGCCGTGACATTCGCATCGCTGTCAAAAACCGAATAAGAAAAAGGTTTGCTTGTCGTACGCAGCGTGCGTACGACAAGCAAACAGCCGCAGTTTCACGAAAAGCCGGAGTTGGACCCATTTCCTCGCATATATATTTCGAGGCACCGCGCGATCCTGCAGCCAGCAATATGAAGAGACTGGCGTGAATCCGCGACGATAAAGCGGTATCTCGCCTCTCAAATGGCAGAATGGAAAGTTCAAATCGGCGATGGGCGTGCGAGGCCGAGGACACGCCGCGCACGCGATTCGTAGCAAGCTGTCATCGGTGGCCACTGCCCGGAAAGAACTTCGAACCGAAAACGCCCGAACATTTGGTCGAGGAGAGCCGCCGCCGAGATGATAGGGAATGTGAACAGACCTTTTTCACGCCGCTGCCACGGGTGACCGATGCCTCGTCGAAGGCCGAAGGACTCTGACACGCTCGTTTCCGTCCCGATCACGTCACGGGCCGAACTTGACACTTTTTTTCCTCTCTAGCGGCTGGCGGAACGTGCGAAGAGCGGGCCGACGGCGGAGCAACTGACCTTGCGCGCCGAACGTCACAGGCGTGACCTCTCACAACCACGCGAGCTTTGGCGCCGCCGGCCGAGCGTAACAGCCGAGCGCAGCATGGGAACCAGTCGATCGGAAGGTGAAAGTTCATGACCTTTAAAACGCTGCTGCCTACGCAAATATTTAGGAAAACGCCATTGGTCTAGCGTGTCGAGACGTCAGCACGCCCGCGTTCAGACACGAGAGGACCAAAGGCGCCGAAGGGGCCGAAGGCAAAGGCCATGTTCGGATATTTGACTCCCCTCCGACCCCGAGGCCCCCGTTGACGTAATCCTGAGTGACTCTTGTTGACCCTTCCTCCGTGGCTCCCTCGCTTCCTTCCCAGTTCTGTCAGAGTTCTGTCGCGTCCCTCGCGCCCACGCGTGCCGACGATACCCGTCACGTGGCAATATGTAATCATAAAGAGTCGTGACTCTTTAACTCTGGGAGCGAGCGAGATGCATAAACGAACGCGCATTCGGTCATGTCGCACTTCCCATACTGCATCTCTCGCTTCCGTCGTCTGCAACCCGATCGCGGTGCTGGATTTGTAGATTGCTCGCTCCAAACAAGACCGAAACTAACATTTTGCAGTAATACTAGTCATGAAAAAAACTGCCTCGCGCCTTATAGCAACTTTAGCTCACGATTTTAGGACGATCCGAATACGCTACACGCCCGCGTTTTTAGTTGGAGGCTAACGAAACTGTACTGCCTAATCTTCGCTGTCACTTGAGGTACAACAAGTTTTCGTGCGCTGTCATGGGAGTATCAAGGTTTTCAACAGTTCGCGAAGCACTTTGGAATAGGTGTATTTATATAACACATAAAAAAAGTATATAAAGCTGAATTATTAGTGGTGCGGAAAAATTAAGAAACTTTCACGTCGAAGGAAAAGGAGATGGTCTCAAGTTCTTAGACTTAATTTTCTCGCCTTGAACTTGAAAGTTTTTTTTTTTTTTTTTTTTTTTAATTTTTCCTCGTCAGTCTGAGATAAGTTGCATTATGATTAATTATCCCTAGCTCACCTCGAAAGTTTCTTAATTTTTCTGCTCCAGTTTCAGGTGTTACTGCTCCAGTTTCAGGCGTATCAACCGGGGGGGCAAGGGGGGCGCTTGCCCCCCCCCCAGTCCTCGGGGGGGGGGGGGGGGGGGGGGGGCAAGGCATGTGCTTTGCCCCCCCCCCCTGAAACAGCCGCCACTCGGCAGGGCAAACACCGTCCGGCGGCGCCCAAGGGGTACCAAGGGCACCGCCCCCCCCCCCCCCCCCCGCCCTGGGGGGGGGGGGGGGGTCTGGTTTGCCCCCCCCCCCCCCCCCCACTCAAAAACAAGTTGGTACGCCACTGAGTGTGTTACATCATGATTAATGATCACCATTTCGCCTGCACCGCCCCGGCGAAGGAGTCGCCCATCTTCGTCTGGTCGGACCACTGATCTCCCGCTCCGTGAGTGCGGAGCGGGGATCTTGCATGGTAATTTTTTTCGTTATGCTAGCGTTTCGCTGCGGTTTTCCAGCGTGCTATAGACACGTTTTTCTACTCGTTCGTCGTCATTCGCCGAAGAAGTTTTTTTAAGACGTTGTATACTGTTGAAACTTGATTAATTTGCCGTTGGTGAACAAGTGGAAAATTTTACGAAAGCGCAGTGTCGCAGGAAAAAGGCACAACTCGTCAAAGCAAAGTATCACGCAGCACAGATTTGAAAAACGCTGTACGCGGGTAATTTTTAGAACGCCAAGGTGCAAAACCCTTACCCTGGAGTAAGATCGAGTAAATTTCGGAACACGGCCCTTGGAACAGGTTTGAGACTTTGGGCCAGAGCCACGCGGGAGCCTGTCCCGCCTGTCCCCCACCTGTGCTAGTACTTTTCAATTGGTCCTGCCTCTAGAGTCATTAAATATGCCATTTTTTGCCAAGTGATCCATTACGGTGTCAGAAGACTACCCAATCAATATTTTTCTACAGTGTCACGTATATTATGAACAAAAAAAAACAAAAAAAAAACGTAACTGTTAGAAACCGAAACCGAAACTAGACTTGGGAGGAAGAAGAAATACAGAGGAGAAGAAAGATACCGAAAATCGCGTGGCTATGCAGCTGTTTCTTTTTTTTTTAATTTACGAATTAGCAGTTTTTTAGAAGCCACAAAAAAACGGGTACCGTAGCATATTTTGTTCCTAGTACTGAGTGTGTGGTGTACCCCAACGGCACGTGGATACACATTGTCCGCTACGCGCCATATGGCTCCATAGCAACTGCGTCATCGTTGCTAAGCATAAGATACCAGCCGAACAGTTCGTGGTGTGTACCTTCGATGACCCACGACTTTGATTTAAAGGGATTGTCCGGTCAAATTTTGTATTCGAGAAAACAATCAGATATCATTTTTATTGCCTTGAGACTCATCATACGTGCAATATCTGAATTTTATATGCCCCTCTGCATGAGTAATTGAATTTACACAAAGCGAGCATTTTTTTTTTATTTTTTGTCTCGTCGTTTGTCTGTGAGTGCAGACAAACGACGCACAGCAGCCTCAGCGTGCTTCGTTTTTGTTGTTGTGCGACTTGTTTCGTGCGTGGGTGAGATTTTTGTTGCGCGGTTGGGTGCCACAACCACCAGGCAGCACATGCGAGCCAAGACATGACGTTCCACACTTTTCCGCGAGACGTTCATTGACGAGCGAAGTGGATCGTCGCCGTGCGTAGGGACTGGGTTCCCGTCAAGATCGAGATCCCGCTTATGCAGCAATCATCGCACAGAAGAGAGCTAGGAGCTGAGCCCTAAGCGGACAGAAGGTTCGTAAGCTGAGGTGTGATGCTGTGCCACCGATATTAAACTACGTCCCTCCACTTTTCGCCCAAATCGGATCAATCAATTTGATTATGCAGCGAAACCGAAACCAACAGCTCGGCCATCTGGAAACGATACCAGAAGTTGTATTTAGGATGCGTGCAGCCCGATTCTGTTTGACCCTCGTGTGAAAATGGAGCGTGGCTACGATTCACCAACCAAGCTCGTCCAAGTTAAGTGACGACATGCATTTGAACGATTCGCCGTTTGCCTTTGACCCATGGACGTCGCCTCCAAGGGAACGACTCGCAGCCTCATCACCGATCCAGTGGATCCGCCGACAAGTGTACCCAGATGCCGCTTTGTGTACCTAGGTGCCGCTTCTTCGATCGGTGGCCGTCGCTGTTGTGTTTGCGCGAAACGGCATACGTTTGCTCGAAGCTTGTGGCTGTCTGCGAGTAATTTCCTGCTAAAAGGCGTGACTTCGTTTGTACATGCTTGGGAACTGCATTAAAAGAACCGTATTTCAGTAGGGTATTTTAGTAGGTTTTGTGACGTCACGCAGCGCCTATGGATGTCAGCCATTGACACCGGCGAAGGGTGCAGTTTCGTACATATATCGGCTCATGAAAGGTTTAATCAATAACGGGAGATCATATATATCAAAATAAAAATGACTTTTGTCCACATGAAGGCTCCCTCGACGTAACGAGTGCAAGAAATTGAGTATTTCCGGTTTCGACCGGACAATCCCTTTAAACCCTTGGTTTAAACTAGGGGTGTCGCGAACTTTTGTCGAATCGAACTTCCGGGGTTCGACTGGGTCGAACCGGTTCGACGAACCTTCGAACTTTTCACCAGATTCGACCGGTTCGACTTTGTAGACAGTGTGGCCAGACCTTGATACAAGCATATCTAGGTTTGGAGAGTTTTTTTTAAGAAAAGGTTTTTTTTTATTTTATAAACAGTTGCAATTAAAAGAAACTAATTTTAATCATTGAAGAAGTTAACAACTTAATTTTTTTTTGTACTGTATTAAGTGAAATAACCGATCAGCGCTGCCCTTAATTTATCCCTTAGCCATCACCATCCAAACCGAAGCCAACTGGCCAGCCTGTCGCGCATGCGCACACGAGTCGAACCTCAATACAAGGTTCGTCGAATTTTCTACTAAAAGTTTGAAAAAGTCGAACCTGGTCGAACTCGAACCTCGGCCGGTTCGCGACACCCCTAGTTTAAACCATAAAAAACGGCACGTGACCACGGAGAAGAGAGTGAGCGCGACTTAAACCGGTCAGTTCTCGATCGGCGGTTTTCGGGCGGAAAGAAAACGACCAATCGGAAACTGGCCCATTTGAGCCGCGCTCACTCTCTTCTGCGTGGTCACGTGCCGTTTTTTATTGTTTAGACACAACTACCAAAGATAATCAAAGTCGTTGATCATCGAGAGCGCCCACTCAATGCCAAAAACAGGCAAAAATATGATGCCCATTTTTTGCGGCTTAGCTGCAAATACGTCGATTGTTGAAAAAAAAAAAAAAAAAAAAAAAAAAAGTTGCATGGTTACTCGACTTTTGGTAACTTTCTCCTCTACATTTCTTCTTCCCCAGTGCGGCTTCGGTTTCGGTTTCGAGCAGTTGCGGTTTTTTTTTTGTTTTTTTTTTACTTTTATTAAAAATATATGTGGCACTGTAGCAAAGTATTGATTGGGTAGTCCTCTAACACCATAATAAATCGCCTGGCAAAACATTAAAAAAAATAAAAAATAATGTTTTCTTTTAAATTTTATTTATGGTTATATTAATTATTTTAAAATCATGGTGGCCAGTTATATGAAGCTTTTTCTTAAATCACAAGAAACGCTTTTCCGTCCTCCAGAAATGCTAACAGTTTGCGACAGAGCAAAATGATATCACCCGAGTTTCCTGCTAATGCCGCATCTAACGCTGAGAAAGTCAATCAGTAGTTGTGTCTGCTAAGCACCAAGATGACGGCGCCCACTAGCAGATCAGGGAACGGAGTGCCAACACCAACGTTACTAAAACACAAACTCAGCCTTGAAACCCGAAACGCTTGCATCCACTGAGAACACACCAAATGAAACGAAATGTAGGATAGATGATGAAATGGAATATTGACTGATCTCGCACTAAGATACGACACAGCCACGGTGGAAAAAAGCATTTAGGTGATGGCTCTCTGTCCGACGCGGCGACCACATTATGTTCGGTGCACCGATCGCTTCACTTGCACAAGGATAGATGGCGCCCAAGTATCGGGTCCCTCCCCAACCGACCGTTCTGGTTGTTTCTCCCAGCGGTAGTCCCGCATTCCCTCGCTCACCGCTTCTTGTTTCACCCACGGTGGAAGAAACACATTCAGGTGATGGCTCTGTCTGACGCGGCGACCACATTATGTTCGGTCCACCGATCGCTTCACTTGCACAAGGATAGATGGCGCCCAAGTATCGGGTCCCTCCCCAACCGACCGTTCTG